TGCAACTTTTTGATGCTCTGAGCACAAAAGTTTTCTTACTGAAGGAAAATCTGTTACCTAGTGAAAATATTACCATCATATCTGATTACGCATAGCCGGTTTGGAAAGCAGGGAAAATGTCGATCATACGAATGACCATGTAGATATACATTGTTTATATCAAGCTATGATTTCTAAATTTACTTTCAGCACAGTATAATGCCTATTGGTTTGGGTGGATAGATGATCTTAAGAAGTCAAAGCAAAGCACGCGAAGAAAAAATATTATATAAGCATATTCTATCACTCGCTGACGCCGCAGCACATCCTCAAACAATGAGCGATGGTTCTGATAATCATTACAACTGATGAAAAACACGCGGCTCTCCTCACGCCCCGACAGGTCCCCCACATCCGCTACGCCACACCTGAGAGGCTCCTGGAACGACTGACGGACCTACGCTTTCTCTCGATCGATTTCTTGAACACCTTCCTGCTCACCTACCGGGTATTCACCGATGGCGTAACGGTACTGGAGGCGCTGAAGAAGGTCTACTACAACCCGGACGTCCATGATCAGATGGCTGATTCGCGGGACTCGTCCGTGGAGAGGTAGGTGGAGACTAGGGACTGGGGACAAGTAAGGGTCCTGGAAGGGGAGTGATGGTGTAGGGAAAGGGGTTGTATAGCTATGAGGGATTAGGGACAGGGGAAAAACATCAGCAGAGTTTTAAATCTTAGAAAGGTTTGAGGATAGGGGAGGAGATTTATCGACAGACGAGGGAGGTTCATTGGTAGAAAGGGGTTTTAAAAGTTATTAGACGTTAAATAAAGAGAAGAGAGATTATTGGCAGAGAAGGGAGTTTCATTGGTAGAAAAAGAAGTTTTAAAGCTATGAGAGCCTTAAGGAAAGGGAAGATAGATTATTAACAGAAAAAGGAGGTCTATTAGCAATTTAAGTGGTTTTAGAGCTAGCAGAGTTTAAGCGGCAGGGTGGAGGGTTTGTGGGCAGAAAAGGGTTTATCGGAAAAGGTTTTAAAGGTAGAGGATGAGGAACGTGACATTACCAGAGAAAGGAAGTACATTAGGTAGGGTAGAAATCTTCGGATCAGGGAAGTGGGTGAGGAGAGCTACAACCCGAACGTTTACAACTAGATGGCTCATTCGAGGAGTGAAGAGGGCTACGAAAGACATCAGGAAGAGGTTGATGCTTAAGAGGATAGGGTTTCGGAGAAAGGGATGGGGTTTATGGGTTATGAAGGGGAGATTAGAGACAGCGGAAGATCTGCAGGATCCCATGGATTTACCCTGCTTTTCGACCGATCAATTTTCATCCCTCCGCACTAACGGTCTGTGTGCCTCGCCCTCCCCACCTAGGTCCCCCGAGTACGTGGCTTCGCCCCCGCCGGATTTCGATAGTGGAAGAAACTCCCCGAGGAGAACGTCCACATTCAGCCCTTTCCCAGGTAGTGGTATTTCTCCTTCATACCGTCCTTACGTGCCTTCCTATCGCCTCCTTCCCTTCCCAATGCCCCCCTCTTCCTCTGTATTTTCCCTTTCTCCATTCTCTTCTTTTATTCCCATTTTTAATCCTTCCTTTTCCCTGGACGGAATGATATGACGTAAACACAGATAATAAGTTAACCTCTTTGGGTATTAATAGGCAACATATGCTGTAAATGAGTTAGTAAAGTACTAGATAAAATGTAAATAGATATAAATTTTGAGTAATTTATCAAAGTGTATAAAAATAGATATGAATATATGTTTGTATGTTAATATGCTACTGCAGCTCTGTATATATCTTTATGTATTATAAGTTACCACATAAGTATATTTGTTTATCTTAAATAAATAATTTGTTCAGTGTAATAAGCCTGCTCTAAATAACATTTTGAACTTAAATACTCCCATAAGAATATGCTTTGGTGTCATGTGTGATATTAAGGTGTGGTGTTCAACGTTGGTGCATGCTTATCATATTGTATTATGATACCCATAATTTGCCTATTCCGCAAGTAATTAACTTTTAACATCGAGGCTTTAAAATGAATCCAGTTTATGAGGGTAATGTGTAAATATGACAATAAAAAAGCATGTCAGCTAAGAGACAGTGTGCAATTTTGAGCTGTAACGCAAATTAGCCAATATCGCAAGTGTGAGAGAGTGGGAGGCCAGGCGCCGCGATGGCCCCATAGGACAGCGTGAAGGTATAATGTATGGGTGTGCGGTAGGGCTGGAGATGGAAGCACCACGAGACAGGTGCTGGACCTTCGACGCCCAGGTGGCCAAGGCTTCCGGAAACCAACACTGGCGCTGGTCCTACAGGCGTTGTAAGTTCACACGTGTTGGGTGTTTTGTCAATGACCGGTGATTTATCTTTTTATTTATTTCATTTGATTTTTTCACGTAGAAAACGGGGACATATTTAGATGTCACTCGCTCCGTAGACGTGTCTCATGCACTCGCACACATATATATGCACACTTGTATACACATCGCACTCGCGCACGCACAAGGACACACAAGCGAACAAACAAGTAGACAAACAAACATAAATTTAAGCACAAATATACCCACGTACGCATGAACAAACACATTACTCTACACATAAGCAATCAACGCAACCAAAAAGGTACACACAAACTCATCTGCATTTTGTATATCTATTATATATCTGAATTGTGATGACTATATATGCATATATAACAATGTGTATATTTATCTGTGTATAAACGTATCAGTAAATGTGTATATCTGCATGTAAGTATCCATTTATATATGTGTGAATGAATCAATAATCGTAATGATATGTCTCCCGCTTGTTCTTCACTCGTTCTCTATGTTATATCTGTGTTGTGGATACGATGTCTATATCTGACATAAGATGGATTTCATAACCAGCTGATATATTATGATATACTCTAAACAATGTTTTATCCTAGATTTGACTAATTGGGTCTTTTACCCATCCTCTCGTTCGCTCTTCATTCCTTTCACTCTCCTGTTCCTTCCATCCCCCTACCCTTTCCTTTTTCCCTTCCTCCTTCCTTTCGTTCTCCCCTCTCCTTTCCTCCACCCCCTTCTCTCCTTCGCTCTTTTTTTCTCTCTCCCTAACCTTCTCTCCCCTACCTCCTTCTCCCTATCCTTTCTTCCCTTCCCTTTCTTTCTTTATCTCCTCCTTCCTCCCTCCTTCCCTGTCTCATATTTTTCTCTGTCTTTCCCTTTTCCTTTTCCATCTTTCCTCTTCCCTTCCCTCCTTCCCTCCCAACAGTCGAAGAGGAACAGCGAGAGCAAGAGGAGCGTCGCGCCCGAGAGGAGTCCGACCCCCCCGCCGCAGCCCCACAGGGAGGTGCGGGAGGGTCCCAGGAGGGCCCCAATCTCCCCGTCAGCGCCCCCAACTCCCCGTTCAGCCCCAAGAAGGTAGGCCCTTTTCTCATCTGTCGTTATCTATCTGGCTTTTCTTTTTATATATATATTTTTTATATATATTTTTACGTTCTATTTTTTTTCTGATTCGTTTAACTCTCTGTTTCTCTCTGTCTGCCTATCTCTCTCTTTCTCTCTCTCTCTCTCTCTCTCTCTCTCTCTCTCTCTCTCTCTCTCTCTCTCTCTCTCTCTCTCTCTCTCTCTCTCTCTCTCTCTTCTCACTTCCCTTTCTGTTAACACAAAATTAAGTGAACTTATAATTGATGAGACGCGTACAGTGATGCGGCAGATACTTGTGGCGAGACCATTGGCAAAGGGGCCCTCAGCCTCCTTCACCACCTCCCCCTCCTCCACAGGTCACCATCCGGACGGACGACGACCCCAAGTACCTCACCATCCCCAAGGGCCGTCGCGTCGCCGGTTCCACGTCTTCGGCTGATACAATTGTCGGCGACGGTGAGTGGTTATCAGTGTGGTATCTTTTTTTCAAGAGGAGTTAATGCTCACTGGGGGAGTATATTTTATTGTGTATATGCATGTCATGCTTATTGGCTGCACGCGGGGTTATTTTTGTTATTCTCATCATATACTCGTGTGTTGTGTACATGAACTACTAGTTTATCACATTTACTGGTTATTCTCCACCACCAGAGAGCATGAGTCAGCCAGACAGCCCGACAGACGCATCCACCTCCACCCTGACGGGCCCGGGGCCCGCCCTCCAAAGCTTCTCCGACTGGAAGCTGCCCTTCGACAGCGAGCGAGGGTCTAGGTCGCGCCGACCTTCCAAGATCTTGGACGTGATCACTTCTCCGCCTCGCCCTGGCTCCGGGCCCCGGCGCTCGCTGCCGCCCAGGATGTCCTCGCTCGAGGAGCACCGTCAGGTCCGTGTTTCCTAGCAGGCTTAGAATCTAGTAGATTTTATTCGTTATGTAGATATTTCCCTTAGGATTTATAATTTCAGTAATAAACACCACCTCTCATTCTAAAACGTAGCGAACTCCCAGGGTCCCTCTTTTCAAAAACACATTAGAGTATATATAACCCTCATTGCTATAAGGCTTGAACGAAAAGCGCCCTAGAAAGTGTTGCTTCTTCACGTGGTCTCCCCTCAGGGGTGGAACAAGATGGAGACAGTGACCTCAGGTTCAGAGGCCGAAGATGAGCAGGACCCCGTGGCCGGGATGGGCGCACGTCGACGCTCCGCCGCCCGCTCCCACAGCGCCGCCCCGAGTACCTCCTCGCCAGGGTTCCTCCTCGTAGGGCCACGCGTCAGGGGCGCCAAGAGACTCAGCTGCGAGAGTGACACGTGCGGCCTGGCCTCCCCGCGCTCCAGCGTCCACACCGCCACACCGAGGTCATCCTTCCAGGTACTGCTCCTTCAAAGGTCTTCGTCTATCCTTGGAATGAAACCATACATCAAAAGCTTTTATCCAGGTGACGCGTTCACCTTAAAATATTTTTTTCCGGAATTGCATCTTTCATGGAACCATATCTTTGTAATCCAGATACGACACACAATAATGCAGTAAATTTTTAGCTTTTTCGTATTTTCATGGACACAAATACTCCACACAGGTGCCAGACTCGCC